CGGCTAGTTTTTTGTATTTTTTTAGTAGAGACGGGGTTTCACCGTGTTCGCCAGGATGGTCTCGATCTCCTGACCTCGTGATCCGCCTGTCTCGGCCTCCCAAAGTGCTGGGATTACAGGCTTGAGCCACCACGCCCGGCCAGATTGTATCCTTTACAACATAGTTTGTATCCTTTCTTTTAATCATCAGGAAATGGAGGCTCACAGGAGTTAAGTAGCTTACTCAGGTTCACCCAGACAGAGCCTAGCACAGCTGGGAGTCAAACCCCTGTCCTCCACTATTTCCAGCACAACCCTTGAGCCAACCCAACAGATGCTGGGCTGTGGCTGGGAAGCCTCTTCTCTCCTCTGTGCGTGGCTCAGTTGGGCCACAGGGATGTCTGAGTTCTGTCTTCAGCGTCACCAGCTCTATGTTCTACCAGCCAAACCAAAGCACCTGCAGACGGTTCGCACCAACCCCACTCCACACTGTGAGCCTGGGGCGGGCAAAAGGGCGCACTCCCCAGTCAGCAAAGTGACAGTCTCATCTTGTTTTTCAGGGGGTGAGTTCACTCGCCAGGCTGAGGTGACCTTCGTAGGGCACCCGGGCAAGCTGGTCATTAAGCAGCGGTTCAGCGGCATCGATGAGCATGGGCACCTGACCATCGACACGGAGCTGGAGGGCCACGTGCCGCAGATTCCGTTCGGCTCCTCCGTGCACATTGAGCCCTACACGGAGCTGTACCACTACTCCACCTCAGGTGAGCCCCAGCCGTGTCCCAGGGCCAGCCCCAGACCGGCCACCAGCCTCGTGCTCTTGACCCCCTATGGCAGCCGTGAGCTGGGGCTGTCTCTGGGATCTTGAGAGGGAAATACACTGGGCCTTACAGTCACCTTCCCCCCAGTTACAAATGTAGGACGCACTCCTTGTAGAGAATTTTGTGCAAAAAAGACAATATGCATAAGTTAGAATTATAAAACCTGGACATAATTATTATGACATTTAAGTGTATTTCCTTTCAGCCTTTTCTCCAGCATCTATCTATTTACATGTATATCAAATATCCCAACACATAATTTCAAGCTAAAGTAATTTTATTATACATCTATATGTACTTTTTTTTGAGACAAGTTTCCAGCCCAGGCTGGAGTTCAGTGGTGCAACCTCAGCGCACTACAACCTCTGCCTCCTGGGCTCAAGCAATCCTCCTGCCTCAGCTTCCTGAGTAGCTGGGCCTACAGGTGCATGCCACCATGCCTGGCTAACTTTTGCATTTTTAGCAGAGATGGGTTTTCACTGTGTTGGCCAGGCTGGCCTGGAACTCCTGACCTCAAGTGATCCACCTGCCTCGGCCTCCCTAAGTGCTGGGATTACAGGCATGTGCCACTGCGCCCAGCCACATCTATATGTACTTTTAAAAACTACATTTATTCTCCATTTGGTGCCCGGTTTTAAATAATTTCAAACTTACATGAAAACTGAAAATAACCCAAAAAATGTTCACATACTATTTATCTAGCTTCACCAATTGTTAACATTTTGCCACATTTACTTTACCTTTCTTTCTTTTCTTTCTCTCCTTTCTTTCTCTCTCTCTCTGTATATATATATGTGTGTGTGTGTGTATATATGTTTACTGACCATTTGAGAATAAGCTGTATATACTATGATAGATCATTCTTTAAACACTTCATTTGTTTTTCCTAAGAACAAGGACATTCTTTTAGAAGGCCACAGTACAGTTATCAAAATTGAGAAATTTAACATGGATACACAGTGATATGTATAATTTTTTTGTTGCTGTTTGTTTGTTTGTATTGAGACAAGCTTTCACCCTGTCACCCAAGCTGGAGTGCAGCCTCAACCCCCTGGGCTCAAGCGATCCTCCCACCTCAGCCTCCTGAGTAGCTAGGACTACAGGCACGCCACCACGCCTGGCTAATTTTTAAATTTTTTGTACAGATGAGGTTTCGCCATGTTACCCAGGCTTATAGTTTTTATTTAAATAAAATTGCAATCATACCACGCTGTTGTATCTTCGCCTTTTCAGTTAATGTCACATCATGAATGTTTAATAGTCTCATTAAGCAGTCTTTGAAACACTTTTTAAGGAATCTGTATGATTCTACTGGATGGCTGTTAATTCAAACCATTCTTCTACTTTCTAAAGCTTGGGTTGCTTCCATTTTCCCCTCTTATTATGAGTTGAAATGATCATCTTAATCATAAATCTTGGCCACATTGATTCTTTCTAAGACTCAATTCCTAGAAATAGAAGTGCTGAGTCAAACAACAGGAGTTTTTAATTTTTTTATTTTATTTTATTTTTGAGACAGTGTCTTGCTCACATAGAGACCCACTGAATATTCATGAATGTGAACTCCTATGGGGGTCATTGAATCCCAGGTTAAGAACACCTTTGTTTTTTGTTTTGTTTTGTTTTGGTTTTGGTTGCTGTCGTTGTGAGACAGGGTCTTGCTCTGTCACCCAGGTTGTGGTGCAGTGGTGTGATCTCAGCTCACTGCAACCTCCGCTTCCCAGGTTCAAGTGATTCTCCTGCCTCCGCCTCTGAAATAGCTGGGATTATAGGAGCCCACCACCAGGCATGGCTAACTTTTTGTATTTTTAGTAGAGACAGGGTTTCTCCATGTTGCCCAGGCTGGTCTGAAACTGCTGACCTCCAGTGATCCTCTCGCCTCGGCCTCCCAAAGTGCTGTGATTACAGGCATGAGCCATCGTGCCTGGCCACCTTTTTAAAGGCTCTCATTAAATTGCTGTTCAGAAAGGTTGAAGCAATTACTGGAGTTTTGTGGTTTGGTTGAGTTCTCCTGGGGAGCTGGGAGACAGTGGAGAAGAGGAGGAATGAGCAACAGGACCACAGTCGCAACCGGCTTGCAGCTGAATGGCCTTTCTGGCGTGTGGGAGCTGGATAGGAGGCAGCTTACACTGATCTTTTATTTATCCTCTGGCTTTTATCCTTCTATTATGGAGAAAACTGCAGCAGAGCACAAAAATATAAAGAGTCTTTTATGCTTCTTTTTTT